TGTAAGAATCAGTTCTTAACATCACCTAGCCACAGCTAGCTCCTTTCTTCCGGGCTTATCCTATAATTCAAGGGAGTGCTTGACAGAAGACTGTTAATTAACAACAGAAAAGGCTAATTTAGACTGTGACCTGACTTTTAAAGTGTACTTCTAAAGTTGCTTGTGTCTTGGCTCAGTACAAGAGCCTCAGACACACACTGTAGAGACATTAAGTCCTCCCACTTCTCCCAGCATATGCTGCTTTCTCCCTTCTCCCAGCTTCAGCTGGGTGAGCAGAATTCTGTGAGGTCAGGACTTCCAGCACGCTGAAGAGGCTCACACCATCTCCATAGCATGAGCACACCACCATATCAACAAAACTTTCTTCTTCCCTGCATAAAAGTGCTTTTCTGCCTCTCTAGTCTTAAGCCAACACCACTTGCATGTCTGCCCCAGCCTCTGAAAGCATCACTCCAACACTTATTACTGAACACTAACTTCTTTTTTACATAGCTCCTTCCAAAATTTGGTAGGTCTCCCTCTCTACTAAGGCTTCACAGGGAGATGCAGAAAGGGACCTTTTTGCCAGGGTTGTTGAGTGTCTCTTTGTAGTCTCAGCAAGCTAGGCAAGGCACCTCTACCTTGCTATTTCTGCAATTAATTTTACAGGCATAAACAGAGACAATTCATCATCATTTAGGGTGGAAGTATTTGAGACATAGGTAAGTGACAGGAGGCATTCCATGGTTGGGAATATGCTGGTTCATGCTCACTTGACCCACAGTGTCTTGTGTAGCATACCTGTATTTTCAGCTACTGGGACAGATTCCAGGCTGGAGAATTTTACCTGTATGGAATGCATCTATACTACCAGCGCCTACCAGCACTGTTTTAGGCAACTGACCACACTGGAATGCAGCTGATAATAAATAATAAATTTAGTTATTTAGAGAATATTTGATGGTGCACCCAGACCCCAGTGAAAGATTGTCCTGTGCAGCCACAAACACCCCCTTGTTGATTACCTGGGCATTAAGGAGCTGAGAGTGAACTTCCTGATGGGCCTTCCGAAGAAGCTTGCTCTCTTCTCTGAGTTTAAAGACTGTATCTGCAAGAGAAGAAGAGATTTGCTCAAGAGGGCTATTTTCCTTTCCATAAATTCCTCTTGACCTCACCGATCTCTCCGAGCCCAGGAATTACAGTGGAGCACTAGCTAGGGACTAGCCAAACACACTGACAAACCTGAATCATCATTCCTTTCAGCACTCATGAGTCCTGCCCACCCAAGGAACCTTCTCCTCTCTGGAGTGTCTCTGCTAACTATTGCTATCACGGTCAGGCTCTTGCTGTGCTTGCTATCAGAGCAAGATATTCGTTTAGTCATTTCCCTTACCCATTGCAGCTGAATAGCAGGGAAAGCAGCAAGCAGTGGTCACTGCCCCTACCTGCAGTAACTGGAAGGTTGAGAAACAACTACAGGAGAGGTCTGTCAGGTCTCCTGAACCCACAGCAGATCCAGTAAGGAGGTTCCCTCCTACTGCGTAGAGAAGCTGCCTCTTGAAAGGATGGTACAAACAAAAAAACCCACAACCCACTTACAGAAAGCAATCACAGGACAACTTGGTCCTCAGGCACATTTATTCCTATGCTGTTAAGCAGCAAGCTTGTGCCTTGCAGCTCCCAGGTTGGGCTCCTTTCAAGCTCTTCGCACATTCCTAAGTACTTCAGTGACAAGACACACAATGCACTTATGTTTCACTGCCTTGAATATAGTTGTGTATCCTCCAATAAAACAAAAGACTGTCAAAAAAAGTCAGCTTTTTTTTGGATCACGAAGCTCCTTTAAAACATAACTAGAATTGCATGCACTGGGATTTCTCTACAAACATAGTTGCACCTGCCAGGACAAGGATGGGAATTTTCCCCTAACAGGATGGTCACTTTGCTGTAGGCTGAATTGCATGCAAGATTTCAGCTCAACATTACAGATATTTCTGATTACAGCGGTGTATCTTTTTTTATAACATTCATCCCTGGGACAGGACATTTAGGCAGTTAGGCCAGGCTAGGTGACAGCTAGCACAAGATCGCTACTGATAAGACCTCTGACTACAATACAGACATTCCCCCAGGCCTTCGAGAGAACCAAAGGCATCTCAAGCGTGGGAGAGATGTGTCCAAAAGAATCCTGCAGTTTCACTGAGACAATACCTCAGTAACATCTACTTCTTCAAAGCATATTCAGAAACTGGAAATCAAAACCTTCATGCCATTGTATGTCCTTCCTCTACCACCAGCATGGCAGACATGAAATCCTGGTCCCAGTGACCTCATCAGGAGTTTTACCGCTGGTGTCAACGGGAAGAAAATCTCAGCTGTAACTACAGGGCCCTTATCTCCAACAGAAGCTCAAAGATCAAAACTATCGCTCTGCCTTCAGAGCAGACTGCCAATGTGTGATGAGAAAAAAAACGGAGAGTACAGAATTAGCGTGGGGGAGCACAGCAGAGGACAGGCTGTGCTGGGGGTGTGAAATACAGCATAAATAGACTGCAGTTCCTATAAAGCAGAGGAGAAAATAGTTCATACTGCAGCAGGAGAGGGCCCGGAGTAGAGGGAGGAGGCAAACAGGATTAAACAGGCCCCAGTTAACAAGACCAGGAAGCTTCAGCTATCCGAGCATATACTCATGACACATTAACCAGCATTCAAAAACCACTTCCAGAAGAAGGGATTTTCAGGAACAGGGCACAGATACCCCAACCATTGGGTCACACGGAACAGCTGCATTGTCCCCAGATCCCAGCACGTTCTGCATGTAGATAGCTATGCCGCCAACCCGAGAGCTGCCCCAAAGCTGTAAAGCAACCAGGACCACCAAAGAGGAGCTACCAAACCCAGCTGCACCTGTGAAAGCAATCCCTTATACTTCCCAGTGGGCTCCTGCTTTCCCCCAGCATCCCTGGCGTGAGGGTTTCATTTTTGCAACTGAATCTAGCAAAACTCCCTCCATTCCATTTTAACAGCCCTCAGCATGTCCACTGCTCAGATACATCTTCTGTTCTCTATTATACTCACTGACAGAGGCTCATCTTCCAACACACGCCTCCTGAGGGCACATTATATATAGAAAGTACTGGTGGAACATAAGGAAAGAAAATAAGACATTAGCAATGCTCCCTGTCTTTGCCACCTCTCATGAGACTGTCTTGCTCTTTTGTACGGCATGGTTACCAATACTTAAGGGAAGATTTACTAGCCAGCTTTGAGCTTAAAGCACAGGAGAGAGATGGTACCAAGTGAACAGTAGGCTGGGAAAATGAACAGAGAATATTAATATCTCAGCTTTAAGCTGACCTTCCTGACTAGCTTCCCTTTTTGAATTGTTTTTCTGATAGTTATTCTCCTTCCTCTGGCAGAATTTGTTTTCTTACTTCATTGGGGGTGGCATATTTCAAGAAGAGAGACAAATAAATATTTAGGTTTCACTTGCTTGTGCTCAATTCCCCTCTTCTAACGCAGGGGTGCTCATCAGATACTAGGGCTCTGTTGATCAGAGAAAAAAACCCAAACAAAACATCAGTAGATTTCAGTCTCCCAGACCTAATCTAAGTAAGAACAGATGTGAACCTTAAAAGCCCCACAATCTAATTAAACAGCAGACTAAATAGAAACTACTCTTTGGGAATTAAGGGGATCAGCATTCTCTGCAATACTTGCATTATTAAATTTATTTTATAAACCTACACCATTAATTACAAAAAGTATGTTTAACTTGCTCCCAAGCTTAAATGTTAGCATTTACAAGATTCTAGTAGTAAAGAAACTGGCTTCCATTGTCAGAAGTATACAGAGAAGTGGAAAATATATATTGAAATAGATGAGATAGATACCTAAATGTCACAATGTTTTATCTGCCACAAAAAGCATCTCCACTAACTTAGTTACACTCACACACCAGAGAAAGGATAGAGTAAGGCAGTATTACCTGATGGATGAACCTGTTGTTTCTGCCCCAGGCTACTGTGGAACCGCAGGCATGTACCTCTATCTTAGCCTCATGCCTTTTACTTTTGGATTATCTTACTCATTTTGAGCGTGACCTCCTTGGCACATGGACTGTTTCACAGTCCGAATATGATCAGCATCTGGCACAATAATTTGTTATCTTACGTGGCTCTACACAAATAAGCTAAGTAGCAGCTGCAGTAAGAGCAAGCAGCCATCAAAAGTCAATTAGGCTTTTAAAATAACGCCATGAAAGTGCTGGTGTTGATAGAAGCCAGGGATGCCCCATGCAGTATAACAGTGCAGGGGTCTCTGAAACCCAGAGAACTCAAAGTGTGGTTAAACCTGAAGTCACACAGTCTCCCGTGGGGCTATTAAAAAAAAGCAGGAGCTCCCCTCCTCTGTGACCCTACACTGACCATGCAATTGCAGCCTGATCAATGCATTTGCAGAGCCCAAGCAGCCAGAGGCTTTTGTGGTGTGTTTTCCTACACAAAACCACCACCTGTGAGCCCCAGTAGCTTCCCTTGCATGGGGAAGCTGCTTGGTAGCCTGCTCTGCGTCTCTCACTTCCCCTCAATGAAATCTCAGGACACCTGGCCAGTTTTAACACTGCCCTTGTTCCCGCACCACCACCCTGAGGTAGGACGATGCTCCAACTGAGGTATAGAAGGGCTAAGGCACTACACACAGTCACACAGAAGAGTTCCTACAGTATTTGCAGACCTTTTGGGGGCCTGTAGAAGAAACACTGTCCTCTCCTGAATTCAGTTCTTCAGTCCTTTCTCTGCCTGGTGTTTTCACAGCTCTCCATCACACTCACCCTGCAAGTTTGTGACTTCACTGTCCTTCTCCTGCTGCAGCTGGGCATATTTCTGGCTATGGGTCTCCAGTGTCTTACGATGTTCCAGTTTCAAGCTGTTGTGCTGCAGCTGCAGGTCAAGCAGCTGCTTCTTGACATCTTCATGTTGGTTCTGAATATGAAAAGAAGTGACAGTCAGTACGAGGAGAAGAACAGTAATTTAGCTATTGCCAAGTGCTATTCGAGTGCCTCTGTTTAATAAGTTGCTTGGGGAGGCAGAAAAGATGTTCGTTCCTCCAATAAGGTAGCTAGAAATCCCAGATAAGATAAAATACTCTTTCTGTTCAGTGGCTCAGGAGGAATGTGACATGCCAGTGAAACTCTGCTTTGTGAAGCAGTTTGGGAGGTCTCCTTGGAAGCCACTAAACTGGAAGCAGAACGTAGCGGCAAGTCCACTCCTGCCTGAAAAAGAGACGGAGACTCTGGGACACAGCCAAGAACTACTACCACTCCTTCCCGACTTCCCTGCACACCCTGCTCCGAGAGCAATGCAGGCTATAATATTTGCTGATATCAAACCAAATGCCCGTGGAACACTGCACAAATCCAAGGTCCTTTCCGGAGCCCCAGACCCGCTGAAGGACATTACCTGCACAGATAGTTTCCACGGCGCACGTAGCGTCAGGCTGCACATTGCATTACAGGAGTAGTTCACCTTTAGGTAGGGCTAAGGTCTAATTCCCATTGTCTTTGCGTGCAGGTATTGCTAGTCACGTAGGACACACAGACACCTAAACAGTCCGGTAGTTCTTTCTGCTTTGTTTGCTTCCCCATAGCCTGGCTGTTCTCCCACCCGCCACTCCAAGCTGATAGAACAGGAGGGAGACCTTTTGCAAGGACACCACATCTTCTTACATAGTGAGACTAGAAAGAACCCACATTCCCCATAATAACATGGGACCCACAGGCATAAAATGCCAGGATAGCAAGAGTCTCTCATGAGACCACGGGCTATTTCGAGCAGGCCAAGAATTCATCAGATAGATAGAAGTGGGTTGAAGAGCTGTTCTCTTCTCCCCTCCCCTCTTGCAGAGGCCAAGAACAAAAACATGCTGAGACATCCTTTTGCTTGGACCCATTGAACCAGAATTCACCTCCTTTTTTGTTCCCATGGTAACCTAGAGAGTCCTTCCACATTCAGTTTGTCAACACCAATTATGCATGCAGATTGATTGGCTCACAGGTGAACCCTGGCCCTTCCATACAATAGCTGCTCAGGACTCAGGCAGCAATTTCAATCAGCCTTCCTGTAAACACATCTTTTTTAAAAACCCCAAACCTCTAAATGCTATCGATGACTGCATTTATCCCCAGTAAAACAAAGCATCTGTGGCCCAGGCATTCTCCCCTGAAGCAATTATCCTCCATTAAAAGGAAAGAAATAACTGTGCTCCAAAAATACATGCAACGCAGAGGAAAAAGCTATTGGTACGGAGGGGTCCCAGAGACAGAACAAAGAGGAGAGACAAGGATGTCAGGTTAATCAGATCACAAGATTAGGAGGGAAAATAAAGAGAACAAAAGATTCCTGCTTTGGCTTTCAAAGACATTAGGTACTTACAGTTCTCGTAAGAGCCACCGGCAAAAAGCACTGCAGAGGAACCACATCCCTAAAATAATTTTGATACTAAACACCTTGGAAGCCACCAACATTAGCAAGTGAGAATTGATTTTAACAAGAAACTCTAAGCAATTTGAGGAATTGTAAGTCCTCATCAGCTCAGGTCAATTAATTTCTAGCCCATATTCTGTCTGGCAGGTGATATATGTAATGTGTGTCCCCAGACTGCTCACAGTCAGGGAGAGAATATTCATCCTTTGATAGCAGCAGGAAGCTGAAGAGAGAGAGATAAGTGCCTTGACCAAGGTCACACAAAGCACCTGAGGCCCAGTCCAGCTCATGAAGCACACAGAGCATCCTCACTCAGCTGTTTTCTAAGGATGGCTGTGACCAACATATGCAAACCTCCAGAGGAATCTAAAGATGCTGTTTTATTGTAGTTGCAGGACAGGAGGTCTGGAACATGCTACATATGATTATTTTTCAGAAAAAGCAACTTAACTGTAAGCAGAGTGTTTTTGACCCAGTCAGTTCTACCAAAGCTAGCTATGCTGACAGCCCCAAGGAAACCAGGAACCTCTCATGTCCAGAGCTGCCCGTCTGACTGTAATGTCATTCCCTTCTCTACCTCATAGATACATCGTTTTACTCAGTCAAGCAGAAACTGCAAGACACAGCACACGAGCGTTGTGCAAATCATGTCCAAATGCAGCTGGGGGTGAGGGAATACAGAGAGACCACGCTGTCACGACATTTCACGCTGTGCCACTACCCATTGTGCCCAACAGTGCAATATGGGGGAAATCATATCATCAGGAAGTCAGCTAATCTTTCAAAAATCAGGAGTCCTTCAACTCAGCTGTATGACTTCAGGCCAGCAAGTCCTCTCATCCCACCTTACCTTTGCTATTCAGACAACACATAGCGCCCAAGATGCATCAGCTATGCGGTAGCTCTATCTCACTGAAGTCTCTGGGGAAATGGGCAGGCGAGGGGCGGCAGGCAAAGAGAAAGACGAAAATAAGAGTACCTCAAAAACACAGATTTCTGCCATCATTTAGAAAGCAGCTTTGCAGATAGCATTGTACAAAATGGAATCAGTAACTGGATGCTTAGCCCACAAGCAAAGGAAGGGCACACCTCATTGCAAGCTTCCAGGTTCCAGCAGTTTCAGGAAGTCCATGTCAAAAATCTTTTGTTCAAAGCCACCCGCCTCCTTGCCTGCCTATTCATGAATGCTAGGATGCATTCTGCAGAATGATGTTAACAAAAAATTTTAATCTCCACTCAAGAGGATGAAAGGAATTGTAAGATGAAGCCTGGCCTCAGCAGGAATCCAGACACAGGCAACTACTGCAGCTGGTATTTTTGGACAAAGTCAAGCCCCTTGCTCCTTGGAGCCTGGTGTGCCAGCTGCAGATGTTTATCAGACATAGATGACTTCAATACATACCAGAACGACAGCAGTGGCCAGAAACTCCAAAGCCAGATATGCTGATGGGGCTTCATGGAAGTCTTTGGTCCTATTTGGGACCTCCAGCTTAGCAGAGTTAGTTGCTTCTGTTCAGCATTACACGTCTACTTCCTAGGTAACGATATTGCTGGCAGCAATCTCTCTCCTGAGGAAGATGCTACCAGTGGGAAGCACTTATCATCTGTGCTCCAGTAACAGAAGTGTTACTCACAGTCTCATAACTAGCTAGAATTGAGCTGCAAACTGCTTTTTCGGGGGGGGGGGGGGGCTGAAATCTACCACTCTGCAGTCCCAAGGGCTGGCCTGTCTTTCAGCAGCTGTAAATGTAGTTAAAAAAACAGATTATTTCCCCCCCCTCCAATAAAAGGAAGCAAGAGGAAGGGAGCCAGGATGAAATGCTCTCACTGTCCCGTTGAGACAAGCAAACCAGAGCATTCTGCTCAGACTGCAGTTGAAGAGGAACGTACTGTTGAGAAGCATTCCCAGAATCCACAGTGCTAGATAATACCCAAGAGACAGAACTGTACTTCCCTTTTCCCGAAGTCTGAATCCAAAAGCCAGGCAGCTGGAGGTCCAACTCTGCTCAGGAAATATAACCCAGCAGTGCTACGGGTTGCTGGAACCTAGCCCTCTTTCTACATCCCAGAATTAAATTACCATTTCACTGCCAATGCTCTAACTAAAAACACTTAAAAATCACCATCACGAGCCACAGTTGCATTGCTCTAACAAAAGCAAACTTTAACATCAAGATATGCTTCAGGTAGAGCATGCGATAAGCTACAGAATGCTGTAAGCCGCCCCCCTCTGAGCCTCTTACATGGACTGCAATACATTGTATTAGCCCAAAGGGCAAGCTACAATGAATAGACCCATTTTCACACTAAAAGACCCAGAAAAGAACACGGTGAACAACAGAACTCCTGTGCGATAAACTGCACAAAGACTACCATTGAAATGAGGCATAGGTGAAGGCTGTAATCTGATGCAAAGCCCAACAGAATAAATAGGAAACTCCCATGAACCTGAATAGTCAGGAAGGAATGTAGATCAACACCACTGTGTGGTCTCCTCCCTCTGTGCTGGCAGTAGCAGCGTGAAACCCTTGGTCTCTCCTAGGCATCTCCGGCAAGCGAAAGCACCAACTCTCCATCCAGGGAGCATTCTTTAACACGCAGCAGATGGTGAGTACGTGAAACCAGACTCCTCCCTTACCTTCAGTATCTTGTGCTGGGAACTGAGGGCCCCGTATCTGTTCATAGAATCTTGCTGGAAAGAAAGATTCAACAGTGCCATTAGATCCCAGAAAAACTTAAGGCAGGGAGGAACACACACACGAGCACCTGCCCAGCCACTGCACCAACAACAAGTTCCCACTGCCCCTTCACACACACAGGCACACGCACGGTGACTGGGAACAAGCCTACCAAGGTGGTGACCAGCAGAACATGCAGCCTGAACCTGGCTGGAAAAGAACCCCTTCGAAACAACCTAGCCACCAGCTAATTAATTGCACTCTCTTGATTCACATTCAGAGCAGTTTTCCCCAGTCTTCAGTTGTTTTTCTAGGACAGGCCCAGTGCTGAAAGGGCTTTGAACAGTAAACCCCCCCCTAAAGCAGGCTGAGCACTCTTTGCAGCAGCTGAGGGGGAGGCAGACAGCACCAGAACTAAGGCTTTCGCCTACATGCACAAATTGCACCATTTAACAAAAAAAATTAATCACTAAGCAATTGAGTAAGCCTAAAGCAAACTCCTGTAACTAGGTACAGCTACCAAACTAAGCTCAACAGACACAAACCAGCAGCAAAGAGGGATTTACATGTGTGCACAGAAGGCTCTGTACCAGTTTAACAAACCTGCTTACACCTTGCTAAGGGTCACGGTCTTCCCCGTTGTCCACAGGGTACCATTCGTCACTGTAGCACCAGCACCTCAGCGCAGCAGGTGTGAAAGCCACCAGCCACCCGTGCTCAAAGGCTAAGTCCCCACGGCAGTAGTGGCACCTGAGAGGGAACATGCTGCAGCGTCTCCCATTACATGCAGTTTTACTAATATCTGCTGGGATCTCTGTTTGGGTAGCTTAAAGCAACGTGGCTGAGACGCTAAGCAGCACCACGGAAGTGCAAACTAACCGCCATGCAGAGATTTCCACTACAACCCACAATTTAACTTACACGATAAATACTCAATATGGTATGAAATATTACCCGCAAATGAGCACAAACTGCAAGGGAGCTGCCCAGCCACGGAGTATTCAGATATTCATCCATGAGTTTCTTTCTGTAACAGGATGACATTCACCCACAGATAAGCAGGCTAAAAGCAATTCCTCTTCTCCAGCATCTCATCAACAGATGCTCTGAGAAAGGAATAAAACCAGCCTTATAACTTCACGTGAACGGGACAGACTGTAACCCAGGGATGCATTTCTTCCTACCGCTCACTGAAAAGTCCTTCTTTTCCCTGCCAATTGAGAAGTCCACAGGCTAGTGGAAATCATTTGACGGTCCCTGGAGACAGAAAACAATGGATATGCTTTCCCCAACAACACCATGGCCTTTCTTCTCCATGTTCCCTGTGGTGTGCCTTGCATTCAATTTCCCCAGGACTCTTCTGTACTGTGAAACAGCAACTCCCTTTTCAGACTGCAGCACAGGACTCCCTGCTACACCAGGAGCTGACAATCAGGTCATCTACTCTGCGATCACACATGGGAGAATAGGCAGAAATGCTCTAGCACAACAGTCTTTCCCTAAAATGAAATAAATCCTTACACGCCAACAGCCTTGCAAGGTGGAGTCAGCCAAAGTTCATCTTGCACCATACACACTCATAGTCTTTCATGCCTTCCAGACAGCAGCACTGGCCTCATGACTGTGCTGGTACTGGAAAAATCTTTACCATTATTACACACACACTCTGAGGAATAAACCATACCTACCTTCTCCTTATTGAGAGCTTCCTGAGCTTCTAACTTATACACTAAAAAATCTAGAAATGGAAGAAGAGAAGACAATTTAATGAGCTGGAATTTAACAAGGATCTGCTTTATATTTTGGTGGGGGAGGGAAGAAGGGAATCAGCCCCTTGCTGAGCAAAAGGCTGCAACTCCACAAGCTGGAATGCAGATGCTGCTAGGAGACTCTACTCAATACTCTCAGAAGGATGGTGGTATTTTCCATGAGAGCTGTCCACCCATCTAATCTGGCCCAAATGTCCTTCCTTTCCCATTCTATAGGCAAGTGCATTGGTGACTTCCTACTTCAGCACACAAACAGCTACATTTTGATGTCACTGAAGCCGTGTAAGGATTTGGGGTGCTCTGAAATGAGAGATGACTCTGGAAAAGAGAAATCAAAGCTTCCATGAGACCAAAAGGAACTTATCTGCTGATCTCATGTGCACCACCTTCTTAAAATGGGAAGGTCCCATGACAAGATAACGTTTATTAGGATGCTTCATTTTCTCAGTCAGTCCCCACCAAATAAATGAAAGAGGCAGAAATGCATTTTCTCCCTTAGCTATGTAGCCACATAGCTACAGCCAAACCTGGATGCTGTCTGTCAGCATTTCCAGAAACACAGTGCATGTAGGGGTAAGGAATAATGATTATTTACTCCACATACCAGTTTTGAAGATAAAAACTAAGCTATTAAGTTGCCAACAACAATCAGGTGCAAAGGGGTCTGACATCCAAGCACACTACTCCACTGAAAGGTACCTGAGCTAATCCATTAGCTTTCTCCTTCCTGTTGTATTTCATGGTCTTAAAATATCCTGCATGTATCTACTTTTGTACATCAACTTTAAAGGATCTGGTCAGTCTGTATTGTCCGTGTAGTGGACATGGAGTGCAGTGATGCTAATATTATTAAGCACTTGTAGAGCTCAGCATCTTCAGATCGCCTTTATAAGAAAGTTTATGTATTTCCAGGAAAAAGCATGGTCTAGTGCCAGGTTTAGCTATCACTTAAAGTGCTCAAGCACCACCTCATGGGTACTGTTACTCACAGATCAGACTGAGAACATAAGTAGGAATATGAGAGAACAGAACCCACCTCCCAGCACCTTTTGCCCATGGGTGCTGGACGAGTCAGTTAACTATAAGTACAAACCAGGGATGAGTCTCACCTGGGGGACATTCAGTAACATCCACACGTGGCCCTGAAGGCAGAAAACACTTGGGGTACAACACACACATCTCCCCACAGGACAGCTGGAGGGCTGGCTGGCCACCACTATGCCATCCATGCAAGAGACTCACCTTCCTTCGTCTTCTTGTGTTCCCCTCGCTCCTTCTGCAAGGATCGTTCTAGCCGGGATCTGTGCTCATACACAACTGCAGAAGCAGAAAGAGGCAAAGCATGAGATAAACCCTGAAATTTCTTTCCACGTATTCTTTCCCCCAAAACAGGCTTCTCGCAGGTCACGCAACCAGGGGCACAAGCGGACCTTAAATTCTGCCATGGACTGGGCCAGAAAGTGCCCAAGAGAGCAGACTTGGGCAAAAAAGCCTTTCCTGTTTTCAATGGCCTGCATCACCCTGGGTTTCTGGGCTTAAGCACACAGTAGCTCACATGTAAAATCCAGACCAAGCAAATCAACAGTCCTGAAATACATGCAGATATCCAATGTCCTAAACAATGAAAGGGTCAAGTCCAGCTACAAGCTGTTTGCACTTTGTCAACTGTGAAAAGATAAGGTCTAGAGCAGGGTGGGACAGCTGGACTAGAGACAATGGATATTCCTCATATGACACACCAGTCTGTCATTCTGTGAGTATTTGCACTCAGGTTTTGCTTTGGAGTCTAAGCTGCAAAGCCCAAGAGCTGGCTTTAGCGGCCAGTGGCTAAACTGTATATTTGAGGGCCAAGCCCACTACCAGGCTCAAGGTAGCCAGAGCCTTCTGGGTCATCTGTTCTGTAAAAGCATCAGCAACATGCGGGAGAGACATTTTCTCCCCTTCCACAACCCAACCATTAACTGGCCCTCAGGCCACTAAGGAAAAGTGAGCCAAGCAGCTCTCTCTCCCATTACACACAAAAAAGCATCTGTACTCTGCACAGGAGCCGAGAAGGGAGAGGGATGAGGCTGCTTCAGGGATGAGGCTGCTTCATACAGCAGCCACATGACAAATGGAAGTGCCAGAGAAGCTTCTTGATGGATGGCGATTTTAATCCACTCTGATGTCTGAATGCTAACCAAGAGCTTTCCCTGAGTCACAGCACTCAGCTGCAATAAGGCTCCTCCATCCCCTCTGCACAGAGACTGCCACCATGCCAGAATGGCACTGGGCAGCAATTCGGGGGGCGGGAGGGCAATAAAAGAAACTTGCCTCCAGAGCCAGTATCTTTGGGGGCAAATCGTGCCACGATGTGCACTCTCCAGGAGAATGAACAAAGCGGGATGATATTTGCATGCATAAAACAGCGCTAACCCATTCCTTGCAAGTCTGACACCTCTGTAGCCCCTGAAGAAAAACAAACAAAACCCCAAAGAAAACCACTTTTTTTGCTGCCTCACCCATCTCTCCCCAGGCAGGGAATTCAAGTTACCCAGTTCTTCAGAACTCCACAGAACTCACAGACTGCCTATGCCTCACCTCTTCCTTCTGCATTGCAAAATGGCAACTATTCTTGCATTTTGAGGCTGTGTCTTCCTCACAGCAGGTCTCCTAATTACACTAAGCGCATGGAAGACTGTAATTTCACCGGGCAGCAAAGCACTGCTGCCATGACCATTCTTCAAGAGCTTTTTAATCAAAGTTGGGCATTCAAGGGATGCATTCCTCACCCTTATGAGCCACATCCCCCTGCAACTTTATGCAGAGCAGACCTGAGAGCACAGTCTAATTTTATCCAGCCTCTTAAAAAGCCTGGTTCACTATTGCATATTTCTCTTCTGTTAGATCACAACAAATCCAAGTCTGGTGGCTTTATCAGGACCCTCACAATGACTGGTGTTTTTCTTCCCACCTGGAAATGTCCTTCCCGCACCGAAAAAGAACCTCCACATGGTGTAACTCCATGCTTTTTAAGCCAAGCTCATGACATTGGCTAGGTCCAAGCTTGGGATTTTTGTGATACTTTGGTTTACCAGCAGTGGATCTGTTAATATTTACAGTGATCTCCAGCAACAGCTGAGTACCTGAGCAAATCATGGGAAAAAGAAGTGATACATGAAGCCAGGCATGGTAAAGTGTTGAATCCTAAGGGGTTTGCCGATTGTAGTACAACTGCTTCATAAGCCTTCTGGGGGCACTAGCCCAGCTAGCCAGGTAGGCAACTAGGCTAGATACTGAGGGTAGCTGGAGCTGAGGCTCCAGCTTCAAGACACAAACTGAATCCAAACATCTCCGTATCCTGTTGTCCCCCCTGGAGCAACTTCAGTGCCTCCAGGCAGTGACTTTTCCTATACTGAAATGCAGGCTTCAGCAGGACAAGACAGACAAGTTGGCTTTTCCTGGACTAGACTGGTTTTAGACACTGCAGGTACAAGGACTATGTTTTAGGGTCTGCCAGCCTGGGCTCATCATGTGCCAGCTCTGTCCCACCCCAGATTGAGGAGCCATTCCCCAGGCATACATTCGGATCCAAGCTCTCTGCCCTGACCCACCTAATTCCCTCTGTCACTTCTGAACTCCCTCAGGGAGCAGGAAGGGCCAGTGTCCTAGGTCAGGAACTCCTAATGTCACCAGCCATGCTATCTCCTTCCTTCTCTTTGTTACCTTCCCTGGTTAACAAAGGCAGACATCCCAATGGCGAACATGCTTCCCCTGGGCTGGGTCACTTCATTAATATTTTCCTCTGGAGTGAGGAAACTACCATATTCTCCAAACCATTACAGCAGAAATATTTGTTTTCCCTCTGGGAGGACTTTTTCCCCCGCTGAGCACATTGGTAAGCAGCAAGCCCATCACCGCAGCTGTCCAAGTGTCTACTTCATGACGGCTTTATTTTTAGAAACACTTTTCCCACCAGACTACTCAGATATCACCCTGAGGGCTTCCCCAGCCCAGCTAAGCACACAAGAGGCTGTGGGTGCTTCTTCACTACATGCTAAAAAGCCTTGTTCAACAAAATTGTCATCTTGAGAACATCAGCCGCTTCCCAAAACATCTGCGAGCTCTGGGCACTCATGCTTCTGCCACGAGCATCTCGCTTTCTTGCAGTCTCATCCAGCGGAGCACCTGAGGACAAGTCTTTGATGCGATGGGAACTTCACACCAGCAATGAAAAGTCATGGCTGCTGGACTATTAGGGATGCCCAGCAATTCACAGGCTTTACCATGCCCTTTCAGGTACTCTGAGCTTCCAGTCTGCATTTGCCTCAGTGGTTCTGGGCTTGGAGGAATTCCCCACGTTGGAGTTTCTCCTGTAGGCATTTCATTTTGTTTACGAGTAACCTGAGTACACTGAAAGAAAACAGAATCTATGACCAGGGTTAGAAACTCAGCCCACACAGGCAGGTCACCCACCTCTCCAGGTCCCTGCAGCTGAAGAACCCGGGGCAACGGAGGCAGCGACCAGCCCCACTGACAGCACAGTTCTGCTCCATCACCCAGAACAGCAAAGTGCACTGGGTACCACAGGAGGCAAGTTGAACAGCTACAGCCTCACGCCAAAAAGCCAAGCGCTCTCAGCACAGGAGCAGGCAAGTAAATAACTATTTTGTGTAGAAAAAGTCTGCTTAGATGACCCCAGGTTACCAGGTGCTATTGATCTCACGTAGTAAATGGGAAACTAAAGCACAGGAAGGCATCAATAGCAATAGGCTTGTGCTAACACCCATAACCACAAATCCTGATGCAAGCACCACAAAGCAGATGAGTCTTCAGGAACAGCTCCTTATCACAGACTGCTTATTCAGAAATTTAAGACAAAATCCAGCTCTCCCGACACTTTTTTTAATAAGGAAGATAAGCTGAAGTAACCTCCAGTGACTAGACAAAAAAGTTGTACTCTCTCCTGCCATTCCTCCAGGTCTTCAGAGCCCAGAAAAGGTGGGTTCAGCTTTACACAAAGGAGCAAGTGCTGCATAAAGTAGTCTCTCTACTGATCTTTGAGGTGGAATACAGCAACAACTTAACAGACCAAAATGGCACAGTACAGCTTCAGAGGACAGGAAGCCAGGAAGTCTTTAACAATTTGCAACTACAAGAGAGAATGGAGGGTGGTCAGTGTCTAAATCCAGGCTGGAATTCAGCCAGAACTCAGCACTAAAGCACTGTCACCTGCTGCCAAATGAGCTAAAATGCAGAACTTGAACTGCTGAAACAATGAAATCCCTTCCAGTGCCTTGCCTTTGGGAAAGAACAGGTCAGGCCTTCCACAGACTCATTCTCATTTTAAAGGACCACAGGAAACAGGGTGATTGTGTGAAGGGGTTGCCTCGCATACCCCAGAGTACCAAGATAAACATCTGCCAGGAAGAGTTTAAGAGATCCATAAAGGGAGAGTGATTCCAGTCTTGCCAACAGTCCCAGGTTTTACTCTCCTCCTGTTCAAGTGGTTTCATTTTACCCTGCCTGGGAAAGCCACGAGTGCACGCTAGCTCCCTGCTTTCATGGAGCAAGGCAGCAGAGGCATCAAATTTGCTGCTCTGGTTCTGCAAAAACTACACACATTGCATAGTTCATTAGGCCATTTCTATGCCAATAGCACATTCTGTGGAAAGAGTCATCATACTGCCCGTGGCTCACAGCTCCAAGCAGCTCTCAGCACACAGAGATCAACACTAACTTCCAGACTGTACCATGCTCCTTCCCCTGTCATCACCCAGAAAAAGCTTTTTTCTCTGTTGCTCTCCTTTTTAGGGGCATCAGATACTCCTGCCAGTCTCCATCCAGTCACATCACAACTAATCACCCATGGCACCAGTCACTCAGGCTCAAGAATCATCCAGAGCAAGGGGAGCAGAACAAAAGCCAGACTCATCATACCCCTTCTCTGATCCAGAGAGATGGCAAAGGAGAGGCAGACTGGGTAAAAGACACCTGATGGTGAGGACAGGAGTGCTGCATTCTCATGCTGAGCAGCTGTGCAAAGGCAGAGAGAAAATTCCTCCGTCCCAGACACCAGTTTGATGTGCCATTGTCAGGCCACATCAGGAAAGTCAGACAAGTGGATGGTATACTATAAATGCACCCTTCCTCCCCATCTGTTCCAAGAGTGCTGTTAGTGAACTCACCAAAATAAAATCTCTCTGGTTTCACTCAGAACCTCCAGGCAGCAGCATGCTCATACATATACAGGCACACACCTATGGAAAACGGGAGGTGGCAAAGCAACACTCCACTTAAAGCCACCTGCTACATAACTCAGCATGGCACGTGTGTGGGGTGGGGGCCGAGACAGAACAGATTCATCTGAAGTGCACGCCAGGTCACAGCTTGCCAGACTGTGTCTCTAATCCCCTCTGAGCCTCCTGACACAGCACCAGAGTCCCCCAAATTACAGCCCTCAAGAGAAAGCCCGCTATTTGGCGAGCTGTCTCCGTGCTCCTTCAGACACACCTCCAACCCCACGCAGCAGAAACAGAAGAGATGGAGGGACAGAAAAGCCAAGCAGATTTTCCTCCTGGCTTCCAGCTGGGCCACAATATGGAAAGAGGGTCTAATGGGTCACAGCAAACGACTACCTCTGCGGCGGCAGCAGCAAGAGCTGGCCGGGACAAGGGGAACTAACCACCAGGCAAGAGGTTGGACAAGGTCACACACACAACAATACCTCCCTTTCTTCTTCTCACACAATGTGTTTTACCCTACAGCAAAGTCAGCAGCTGCTTTGCTCTTATTTTAAAAGAGTAGATGAGATCCGTTTCCCTGCAGGCAGCCAGTACCCCCTGTACCATGTGCAGTTCTCAGCCCTCCCAGCATACAGAACAGGCAGTGTTGGTTTCAAGACAGCTTCGCTCCCTCCTCCACTTGCTTTTCCCTTTCATTCGACTCTTCGCCCAGCCCTACACTTTCAAGCTTTATTTATAGAGGCTGCCAGAAGCACTGACCATATATTGTACCTGGATATAAGAAGGGTAGGAAATACTCGATAGCTGAAAGGAGACACCTGAAGCACTAAACAGTACTGAATTCCACCTCATCTAACACATCCTCCTTTTGTAGAGCTGGAAGGACAGAAATCAGATGCAGAAGACACAGCAATTGAAGTCATTCAACAAGCTGGCAGAGGGGCAGGGATAAAGCCCAGATTCCCAACTCTCCGGTGTCCAACACCAAAGCACCGCAGGGAGCAGCGCTGGAAGACAACAGCACGAGAGCCACGGCCATCCGTGCAAGACACCCCTGCACTTTAAGACTTCCATGAACATGGCTCCCATCTGCCAGTCGCTAGGCTTCTCCCACCAGCCAAATCCAAAAAGAAGCTTTGCCTTTGTTAAAATTGTTGGACAAGTAAGTGTCTTCTCAAAATAAAAAGGGTATCCATGGCAACAACTGTATTTAGGCATGGGAGGACTGACAGAGGGTTAGAAACCCCAGCAACAGGCTACAGCTCTGCTATTCAAACATATTTGGGTGGAAAAACTATTATGAGCCCATCTCAGTTGTTTGCTTGAGCCTGCTGTTCCCCAACTGGGGTTCCCTGAGGCTACCACTGTCATCTCATTCTCTGAAGAACCAGCCCCTCTCTCCAAGAGAAGCAAGAGATACTGACACACCAGAAAGGAATGTGGGCTCGCTTCTGCCTTGCTGATCTTTACATCTCAGAAACACAGGATGCAGGTGGAAATCTCTGTGGCTGGGACTGTACAATACATTAGGAACCGTAGCTGTTTCACTGCCTTGTGATAGAGTAAGAAGAAATGGAAACAAAACATAATAGCAGTGAACCTATACACACACAAGTTCTATTCACAAGATTGTTTTTTTAAAGCATGTTTCCTTGAGAGACAAACAAAACACATACACCACACTCCGCTTTCCCAGTTTACAGGTTGAAATACACAGCCCTGAGCACAAGCAGCCTATGTACAACGTTACATTTGCATCACAACACTGCACGCAAAAACACCGGAAAAGATTTAACCCTAAAAGGCACATATGTTGGAGTCACAGATCTGCAGAATTCCCCAGCAATACAGGCTACGGAAACAACGTCACTATATGTCAACAGAGGTCATAACGGATAGCCCATATTTGATTTTAGCCTGAGGAAGAGCTCTCGATGTAAACACTATAATCTAAACCCACTTGTTAGAAGAGGAGGTGTTAAATGAATCTCTTGACCTTGAGTCACTAGAACCACAGGCAAACAATATTTGGTCCACATAAAATTCATTCTGTGGGCACTCCAGAACCAACTCGTCCTCCAGCGTTACACACACAACTGCTGGCTACCAAAGAGTGGATTCCCACCAAACCTCTCTACAGGGAGCTCAGCAAATCCCTCTAAAGACTCCAGATCTAGTGACAGGTGCTGGAAACACAGCTTTGGCAGATGCAGTAAGGCTAGAATGATAGACTAGACAAAGAAGATAAGACTTCAGCAATGGAGTAATGTGTTCTCAGCCTTCCTTACTGAGATCTTGCCATAGGCTAAATGTCATTCTCCCACAGTTTGACATTTATGTAAGGAGGACAAATGAGGGGGGAAAGGGGCAGGAGGAATATACATATTATGCTTCTCTTCCCATCTTCTGGCAGCTCTTGCCAAGGGAACCAAGTGCTGGTCAGCAGGCTCAGAAAAACCAATTCTTTCTCCTCCTCCCCCCATTTTAGGGAGCTCTCCGCCGCAGCCTCCATCAGCCCCAAACAAGCTGGCAAGACTTTGCTAGTCACAGATCAATCTCTTGAGAAGATGAGAGGTTTGTTGCCTTGCAAAGGCAACGGGCAGTAGACAGTATGACGACAAACTTTACTAAAGGACCCTTTGCCTCTCTATTCACTTTCCGGACAGACGCTCCTGCAGGCTGGAGAGTGGTTCCACATCTCGGAGCCTGCCCAACCAGCCTCCGTTAAGTCCTGTTTGCATTTTTTACTGCTTCGCATTTAGAATGACATAGGACTAGTCTTTACGGCCAAAGGGAACTACAGGGAGAAGAAATGGAATAGATGTGACGCAGCTGAACTCACCAATCCAGCACACTCCGTTCCCCTTGCTGCTGTGAGCAGCAATTCAGATTCAAGGCTATTCTAATTCTAGACAGCAACGCTGAGCGGGGGGGGGAGAGAGAAAATAAGCGACAACATCTTCTCAGAGCTCTTTAAAGCCAAAAGCTGAACCTCGCTCCGCAAAAGCACCCCGCTTGTGGCTGGGCTGTGCGGCAAAAACACCAGCAGGTAATAATATTGGGAGAGAGGGAAGTTGAGCGTGTGTTGTGCACACACAGACAGAGCAGGTCACTCACCTTGGAGCTGGGCAGACAGCGCTTCTTGCTGCTGTTTGTATTTCTGGGCCAGGGCTTCAGCGTTCCGCACCTTTTGCTGCAAGTGGTTGTACATGAAAACTCCCGAGCCCAAACATGCCACGGTCACCAGGCAAAAGCCGGTCTGCAGAAGCCCCTTCTGCCTCCTCGAACACATGCCAGTCCCCATGATGGGGGCCGAAGCAAAACGATGTAGCGCTCTGCCTCTCCGGGCGTTGCTAAAGCATCGGATTCTCCCCCCCCACCGCCACCCAACAGCCCCTTTCCTCCGCAAATTCGCAGGTCCCTCTGCGAGACGCGATCAAAGTCTCGCCTCCTCTCCTTTCCAGCCCTCCGAGAAGCCGAAGAAGCTCCGGCAACGTTTTATTCCTCGTCGCCCATCGCCGAGAAGCGCAGCGCGACCCCCGTGTCCCGGAGGAAGAACCGAGGGACCGGCAGCTCCATCCCGCAGCTCCGGGGAACCGGCCCGGCACACGGGGCTCGGTCCGGGTTGCCTGGGCGGAGGGGAACCGGCGGAGGGGAGAGACGAGGAAGACGAGGAGGAGGAGGAGGAGGAAAACTTTTGCTTCCCATGTGCTGCAGTGGAGGGCGGGGGGGGGGGGGGGGGGGGGGGGGCCCCCTTGCG